CAGGAGGACTACTAATGACTCCCCTAGGACACCATAGGGGGACTTTTCACGCTCCATAATCACACCCTTAAGAGGCATGATGGAGAGCTCCACTAAAAAATCACACCCTTGAAAGGGAGGATGGAGAGCTCCTTGAGGCTCTCAATCATGCCTCTTGGTGTGATGAGGAATCATGACCAATCCTCAGTCTAGAGTGAAATCCAAAACGAAAAATTGATGTCATGTCATTCCCTGATTATCATTCATCTTCACGCTTCATATCATTTAATGGCTTCGTCATGATTACATTCTTTTCATCCAACAACGCCAACACTAGCACACAGATTAAATAAAAGAAGTTGATCGATGTAAAAATAAACTTGTTTTATTTATTCTGATGCTCATCCTTAGAGACTCTAATCCATGTACCTGCATATTTCATCACGAAATATCATCACAATCCATCAACAAACCTAGCCAAATTACTTGTACGTAGTAGCCACGTATGTAGCCCCTCAGCCCTACCGACTGTTTCACGTCCGCAGAAAACCACTTCTCGCCACGTATAGTGGAAAACGAGCAGGTAACTTGTGCTACCGTGTAGGTACCTGTATTTGGATGCTGTTGTCTAGTTGTATAAACCAGAGGGTAGTAACGCTGTACCTCTGGCCATATCGTTTCAGTTATTTACAACACCACAAATTTGTGTGTTGCTGAACCTTTTTGTACCCCTCTACATTGACAACATCTATGGAGCGCTATTTCAACATAATACACATACTTTGGTGCGCGATTCACACAACTTTATATGAGGCGCGATGATGCACGCACCATGGCACAATTTCTGGGTGCGCGTGAAGTGCGAGCGCGATCGCGCCCCCTTAAAAATGAAAGCCTGATTATGAGTAAAATCGATCTGCACTTGACCCGTGCAGATGCCTGAGGAGGCCAACCACGGAGGACCACCCAGGTTCCACAATGGACATCTTACATGAGCATCTTGGCATAGGGGGCCACACAGCTGTACAGCCCAGACAGGCCAGTCAGCGATTTAATGACAGCAACACCAGTTCATAGTGATTAATGACAGTTTCCTTATATGCTGTTCTAACAAATGTAACTGCTAACTGGCAGTGTGCATCTGACAGAAATGCAAACATTTATGTACACTAGTTCTTAGCTTGTCTTGCTAGGCTGGGAACATTTATGTTTATTTCATACAGATAATTCAGTGTTTCACATGGACATTTCATCATGCACTTACCTGCACCGTTATTATTTTTATTGTTAACACTGTATAATACAATTTCACAGCCACAGGCTTTCATTTTTAAGGGGCCCGATCGCGCTCGCGGCGCTCCACGCGCACCGAAAATTGTGGCCATGGGGCGCGCATCCATCCGCCTCCATAAAGTGGTTGAAAATCGCGCACCAAAAGTGTTATGTTTTGAAATAGCGCTCCATAGAGTTCTCATGTAGGGGGGTACAAAAGGTTAGCACACACAAACAATTTGTGGTGTGTAAGTAACTGAACGTATGGCAGAGGTACAGGGTCTGGTTACTACCTCTGGTTTATATATAGATATATAAATACAACTAAACAACAGCATCCAAATACAGGTACCTATAACGGTAGCCACAAGTTACCTGCTCGTTTTCTACTATACGTGGCGAGAAGTGTTTTCTGCGACGTGAAACAGTCGTAGGGCTGGAGGGGCTACCATACATGCTAGCTACGTACAAGTAATTTGCTAGTTTGTTGATGGATTGTGATGAAATTTTGTGTCTGAAAATATGCAGGTACATGGATATAGAATCTCTAAGGATGGAAATCAGAATAAAATAAAACAAGTTTATTTTTACATCCGATCACTCTTTTATTAATCTGTGTGCTAGTGTTGGGATTGTTGATGAAAAGAATGTAATCCTGACGAAGCCATTGAATGAATGAAGGTGAAGATTAATGAAATCAGTAATGACATGACATCCCAATTTTCGTTTGGATTCACTCTAGACTGAGGATTGCATGATCCATCATCACACCCAAGAGGCATGATGGAGAGCCTCAGGAGCTCTCCATCATCCTTTTAAAGGTGTGATTTTTAGTGGAGCCTCCATCATGCCTCTACAGGGTGTGATTTTTAGTGAGCTCTCCACATGCCTCTAAGGGGATTATGGAGCGTGAAAAGACCCCCTATGGTGTCCTAGGGGAGTCATTAGTAGTCCTCCTGTACTTTTCAAATCTGAAAGCCTGCAGCCACATTTAGTCTTATGATGTACCCCAAGTAAAGAGCAAAGAATTTGTTTTGGTGTGAAAATTTAACATCTTTTCTTTAACCTGCTCCCCTAGCCCTTCATCCTGAATAAAAGTGACATTAATTAGTGAAACCAGTACGTATATAGTGGTTTACACCATGCACACAACTAGCTCTATACTATACCCGCGTACAGTTGCGGCAGGCCTGCGGCAACTGACGCGGGCATAGACTAGTACAGAGCTAGCACACAACCAACCTAATAAACCATGCCACCTCCACATTCCTACTACGTTACTTTCCTGCAGACATAGCACTGCACAATAGGGTGAAAGAGAAGGTTTAAACAATGTGTTAACTTAGTATTTTACGCAATAACTTCACATCTATGTACAAAATGGAAGAGATATTTCAGCCATCGTTTCTTGTGTTGTGACAACAAAGTCAACATTGACAATGTCAGCATACACGCCATAGCCTATAGCTATAGCCCGCGATCCGCTGCCGCAGGCTATAGCACATCTCGCAATAGAGGTAATCTAACAAATGGTACCAGCTGATTACCCTAAAATTATCTCCCAAACTAAAATGATCGGCTTTTTAAGCACTTATCTATCAACAATGGACATACCTCACCTATCTTTTTGAAACACTTACCACAACTTTACACCAGGTCTTTACTGCTGTATTCCCTCAAAGTCTTAGCAATACTGTGTTTGATTCAAATGCGGTGCTCTGCTTATGTGTGCCTACGCGTGAAGCTCTTCAGTGCTAAGAACTTGAGGAATAACAGCAATAAAATAACCTGGTGTAAAGTGTGGAAGTGTTCAAAAAGATAAGGTGAGATGTCCATGTTGATAGATAAGTGTTAAAAAGCCCGATCATTTTACGTTTTGGGGATAATTTTTTGGTCACATCAGTTGGACCATTTGCTTAGATTACATCCTATGGGCAGAATGTGCTATATACCCCTGCGGCAGCGAATCCCGCGGCTATAGTACTATCTAGAGCCAGTGAGAAGTCGACATGTAGTCAAGGGTAGTACCTACTAGGTGGTGGGGGGATGGTTGTGTGCATGATGTAAAACATTACACTAATTATGACGAGATGTCACACCTGGATCCGGCAAAATAATTTTCTTGCTTGCTCTGGCCGCAGGAGTAGACTTGCTCTTCTCCATGGCCATAAGATAGCTAAACATCGGCCAACACCGCTTCGAGGTCCGCCATCTTTGACGTATAGCTGTAGCACCTGGATACTCCGACTATGAAATTACCGTTTCACAACAAAATGGAACGAGCAGTCCGTAGATTTTCATCAGCCTTCTATACCATTTTCTAGTTTTTACACTCAAAACATCAATGAACTCTGCTACATATCCGATTGGTGGTGATAGTTACAGAAAACACAGAGAACACAAACAACCAACGTTCACTACCTACGCTATTTACAACGCCACCCTGTTTGAAGTGAAATAATATTAATTTCAGAGTGTCAGTGCTATGCTGTATTAGTTTGGCATTATACGTTTAGTGGATAAATATTATACACCTACGCGCATTTTCAGATAATTAAATACATTGAAATCCATGGCTATAGACTCTGGTGTCTATTTTGTTTCATTAATAGTTGTTATATAACGTTTACTGATTTATTCTGGCAAAAAAGCCAGGCATGTTTCTTCTGTTTTGTATCCCAACTTTTCAGTATCACCGAAAAGATGGAAGGCACAGGGATGGTATCGAGAACCTTCTCGAAGGAATGTTCGTTGAGATCGTTATGAAGTTGCCACGAGATGGCGCGTACGTTTAAGTGTCTTAAGATTGAAAGATGGAAGCTCCCACCGTACGTAGTAGCAACAACTATTGCAAGACAGAAATAGGTAAGCACTCATCCATTTACCTACGCAAGCCTACAGGTTGAAATAGAGAGCTGCCACCTGTACTAATTAATGCAGACAAAAACTACTCAGTACTATCACCACCACATGCACTGGCAGTGGCATAATAAGTTACATGTAACACACTGACAGTACAGAATGCCATAGAAATTATACGATTTAAGGATCATAAACCTTCTCATCCAAATTTAGCTTTGAAATTTCACTGTGACATTGGTAGCCTCATAGCATGCCAGGCATGTATAAATTCTACTAGCAAACCCGGTAGTCAAATTCTTTAACAGTAAACAATCCATTTTTTAACCCTCCTCTTGAGGGTCAAAAGGTTATCCGACACTTACTCTTCGCAAGTCAGCGGAAAGTACATTTCATGGTCCTTTCAATAAAGCCATAAAAATGCTAGGTGACCGCTGAAACAAAAAAGTTTTTCAATCGCTCGTCAGACCATGTCCTCAGAAAATGCATAAAATCTGTCCTGTGCCCCATTGACCTTTGACCTCCAATTTCGGCACAGTGATGGCTTTTCCTACCATGATGCTATACACCGACTATCACGAGCCTAGGTCGAGCCGTTTAGATTTGTGCCGCAATTCTGCATTTCCTCCTCTATACCTTGAGGTTAAGGATGGAATGTTCCCGCCTTTCTTTTACACCCTTTGACCTTTGACCTTCAGTTCGACATCCCAACTCGTTTTCGGATTACCCCCCACGTCCGACTTTCGAATCCGTACGTCGAGGCCGTTTAGATTTGTGCCCAACTGTTGACGAGACGACTACAGACGGCACGGCGGACGGACGCACGCTCATGCGATTCTACAAGCTGCATCTGACTATGTCAGATGAGCTAAAAAAAAGGAAAACATCACTTCAGTCCAGTTATTTTATTATTGTGATATATTACATTCTTGATAATTAATCAGGGGAACTAATACAAGCAGATCAACAAAATCCACAAAATAAATAACATGAATTGTCCCACCAGCTTACAACTTACAAAATGCATGCACAACAATTATAAATACATTGAATGAGAATTGCACTTGAAACATGACCAAACAATTTCATATGAGGAAACGTGGATACTCCAGACCTATGTACACTCTACATCATAATGCAGTGTGCTCTTAACTATCTGAACCGTATCTGGACACAAACAGCAACCCATAATTTCATCAGACAAATAATTGCACTACATTAGTGAAATTACAAAGCATATAATCAAGCAGAGTCGTGGGAAGTACATCAACACACTGTGTAACAGAATTTACTGAATATCTTGTAGATCACTACCTTTCCTCGTCTCCTCTCTCAGTAAAACCTGAAGCAGCTTGCAAGCATTTATTTCATTTCATCACATATAGCACACAGACACGAATTTACAAAGCCATCATTGTTTACATTTAATTCATTTGCTTCCAGTAGAGGTCGCCACGTGGGAAGACATCACTAGTCCATCTAGCTCACGTTTGTGTCCAGTTTCAATCAACCACTCCTGCAATGCACCAATATGGAGATGTACTCCGCAGCAACCAAATGTTCACCACAAACTTAATTTGGTTGACTTTAGATGCAATACAACATTGTATCCCATTCATCTCCAAGTTCCCCATCTATACATGGCAATCAGGGTTTGAAACTAACCTAAAATGTTCACTAGCCATCAGGGCTAGTGACCTGTAGAATCTACTAGCCCTTAAAAATATCTCCCAGCCCTTACTTTTCTGAAGTGTCGTGCTGAGGCTACGCAGTGAGCAAAATTTTGCCATTTGCGGGGGGGGGGTTGATTTTAGACGCTCCGAGATGCATTCTGCGAAATTCCTTGACTGTGAAAATTTAGATTCAGCATATACAGTACAATATATATATATATAGCAAGTACAGTATAGAGTTATAAGTTGAGTTATTCTGTTTGTGTTAGTTTGAGATTTGTAGAGTTGTATTGCTTAGTTGACTTGAATATAAGCCACATAGAAGCGTGTTATGCTAGTGTTAGGATGCACATCGTATTATAAAAGGCTTAGAATACCAGTTACAGGAATGTATTATGTAGGTTTAAAGAGGTTATTTTCATAACAGTACCTGACAAAACCATGATTACTATTCCACGTTAATTATAGACACAGAGACTGGATTGTATATTAACCAGGGTGATTCCAACTCCGTATAAGTAAATTTGAGTTTTTAATTTGATATTTAGCAAACATCAAATTGAAATAATCTTCGTTTGAAAAGGGGAGGGATTGTAGTGTTTAACCCTGAGGTCAGCTGAAACGTAAACTAAGTTAACTAACCGGTCCACGAACGTAAACAGAAAGTAGAACAGAACCGTATTGCGTATACACTGTGAGGGGATTGGCATGAGTTTGTGAATAGAGATTAGAGCAGCATGGTGGTTGAACCGATTTTATTGTCTGAGGTACCGTGACTGTTAAGTTTAGGTTTTGCAATTTTATTATGTTTGCACACGCAAATTTTATATTACTTATTACTAGTTCGGTCGGGTTAGTAGTTGCTGAAAAAGTACTAGTAGTAGTAATATGTTATCTGGTAGGCATTTCCACTCGCCAACAGGGCTGGTCAGACCAGAAATTCTACTAGCCCTTACTGATTTCTACTAGCCTCGGGCGAGCGGGCGAGCGTTAGTTTCAAGCCCTGGCAATGTTGGCTATGTACAGAATAGAATATCAGCACCACCTGGTAGAAGGGTTCAATCAACTGCACATGCACGTACCTGAAACTTGGCTTCCACTAAAGCCTGGAACTGCTTGCGCTGTTGTTTGGTTAGACCCGCCTCCTTGACCGAAGTCTGCCAGTTGGAAATGTGCTGTTCCCGTTGCTGGACAGCTTCTCTGTATGCTGTGGGCAGAACCTCTGGTATACTCTGTAGATAAAGACAGATATATAGTACTATATATAC